GAAGCATATATCTTTATTATGGTTATCATGAAAGCAATTCTTCCTGTCATGAAGAACTCTCATTTGCTAATGTTGTTAAATGAATTTGACAGGTCAGAAAGCCAAGACAAATCATTTAAAAGGAGCCAACACTGTTGTGATGTGTCATAGGACATACAAAGCCCCCAAGATGCTTAATAATAGACAGCTCAAGAGGAAAAGTGTAATAAAAGATTCTCCCATAAATCAAACCCTTGCAGTCCTCCTCAAATTCAATTACTTCTCCGGGAAGATTAGAAAAACATTATTTTAAATGAAGAGCAGATAAAAAATTAAAAAGACTGGAAGATGCCAAATAAAAAAGAAGAAAGATTATATACACGAAGCATGCAATAAATACTATGCTCTCTTTGCATAATACAGGTCAGTCTAGCAAGGTACATAGGGGAGGATATTTGTAAAATGCATGTTAGTGTAGGTCTGCAGTTATTATAATGTATTAATTACAATACATATTCAATAGCAAGCAATACAGATGTATGGGGTGGATTTTCAAATGCCATACTGAGCTCCTAAAGCCAAACAAATGCTGGCTAAATTCATGCATGCTTCTGAGCCACAAGGAAATTACTACATGGCTTGATTTATATGTGAACACAAGCAATTTTGGCAAAGATCACTCAGCTGCCAATTCTTTTACTCTTTTTCAATACCTAAGGATAAAATGTTCAAAAGCAAATTAAAAATGGAAGCACAGGTCATGACCATCTTTTAACAGGTGAGTCAAAAGCTAGATAATATTTCTCCAGGATCTCTTAAGTAGGCATAAGGTAGAGAGTGTTAAGTTGGAGCAAATATAATATTTAATTTGTGGAATATACCAATTCAATTATTCTACATTTTAAAATTAAATGTATTTCAATTCGTTCATGAAGAATTCTCAATACTGTGTAACTCCATGATATGTTGCAAAAAGGCAACACTTAGTTTTCTGCTTGTGCAATTTTTTATGAACACAATGATCCGGTCATTTCCTCTCAGTGCTTCTACTCATACAATTGGGTAAAGCATAATGTTTTAATTCCTGGCCTCTTCGGTGAGCCAGTAAAATTAATATAGCTCCATCATCCACAAACTTTTAGGGTATCATCAGCCAGGGCATTGGACTGTTCCAAATTCCTAACAACTCTTGGAGGGTTGTTACTATGGTTGGATGGTTACTCCTACTCATAGAATGAATCTGAAAAGCATGCAGCTGTTGGTCATTAGTAACAAATTGCCACACAAAGTAGCCAATACCTTTCAATCAACCTGAACTGAAAACTGAATTAAAATGAAACAATTTAGAGTACAATTGTTACAGCCACATCCAGAAGATATTTATGACATGCAAGGATTTAATCGCTGCCCTTCCTACCTCCTCTAGCATACCATAAATTACCATAAATGGAACCCTGCATGGAAGAATGAAGCACAGGACATTCGTTTTTAGTAGCCGAGTTAATTAAAATCATGGCAATAGTTTCCAGGAAAGTCTAGCGTTAGTCTTTGTTTTGCCGTACTTTGCTAACTTGGAAAATAGCAATCTTAAAGGCTTGATTATTTCCAAGAAAAAAGCATTATTACTAAAAGCACTCTTGAAAAATCTTAGCGATTCAAAATGGAGAAGGAAAACAAATTTGAAATCCTAACGTTAAACTGTGACAAATATTCACAGAAAAAGAACAATGTTTTACAATATGAGCCTAAGTCAGTTTGATACAAAAGTGAACGCATTATGAACTCCACCCAATGTTGCTCTGCTTGCTCTAAAAATATCCAGCAATGCTGTCATCCTATGCTATTCCGTAATTTTGGCAACGGTAGGAACAGCCAGTTTCCAATTATCTTTCTTGAATCTTATGAACATAATGGCCTTCAGAAAAGCACAGAGAAAATCTCCAATAACTGAAAGCCTATAGTGTATTATGCCCACAAAATAATTTGTCAACTTATCCCTGGCCCTTGATGAGTGGTTTTTCAGGACCATGTACTATATAATCCCATCCCTAAAGTTCTCATTGATTCTCTGGAATGAAAAGGAAAAAAAGGAAATTGGAATTTCTGCAAAGCAGTAAAAGAGACTGCTGATTTTATCTTTTACACATAACTACTGTAAGACCAATGAGAGAAAATTTTAGCAACTCTGTATATTTCAAGGAGAGGGTTGGGAGTCAGTTAATGAATCAAGTCACATAAAATATAATATAAAATATAATAATTGGTTCACCTTCTTCTGTGTTTTTCTCTAGCACTGACATGTATGCTTTTGAATGAATATTGCTGGCAAATCATGCTACAATTGATGCTACAATATGGGCTAATCAACATTATTGTGGTTTTCCTAAATGGCTTTAAATTACAACCACAATATTTTTGTTTTTCTCTTCGCTTTACTGTAAATATACAGATTTAAGATATAAATTATAAATATATATTATGCGTAATGTTCATGTAGATTGGTTTTAGTTTTGAAGAATAAATAGTGACTCCTATTTGTTTATTCTGCTAAAAATCCTGTTGGGTTCAATGGAACTTATTCCTTTGTGGGAGGGAGGGAGGGAGGGAGGGAGGGAGGGAGGGAGGAAGGAAGGAAGGAAGGAAGTAAGGAAGGGAAGAAAGAAGACAGGCAGGCAGGCTAACTCTATGCTAAGAGATGATTACATTTTCATGATGGAACAATCACTTTTTCTTTTCTGGTACCTCATTCTACTTTCATGCTATGAAAAATGAAATGACAAAAGTATTTTTGCCAACAACATTGCTTACTGGAGGAAATGAGAGGTGAAAACTTTTTGCCAGTCAAAATACTGGCAACTCTAAGCAGGAGAGATCAATATAATGCTTAGTCTTCTTGAAAATCTACCTGAGCATTCTTTGATAGGAATTTGATAATCATGGCTGCATTCCCTCTTAGCATTTTTAGCCAAGGATTACAGTATTAAACTGCATGCCACAGGGAATTTGTAGTCCTCTTAAAAATCATACTATATATGATCGAATACTATGCTACTTACAATATTTCAGACATTTTTTTTTGTCAAACCCAAACTGGCCCCAAACCAGTTTATGTGAAAATGTCAGCAAGTTATTATTTGGAATACAAATAATATCTTCAGAGTACATCTAAATTTGATAAATGATATTGGCAAGGATAACCCCCAAAATTTTATTACAGACTGTACAACTGCTTTTTCTTTGTTCAAAATCATAGAAATCAATTTCTTCCCCCAATATTCTACTCTGAAGGCTTAATTTCTTTTTTCAAAGCATTAGCTATTACTGCAAAGTAAAAGAGTCACATAATCTTGTCACAGGATGCTAGGTTCTTATCTGAGTGGAAAAGTAACTTTGGGAAGCAGTTTGACAAGAAAAACAATGTGCAATATTGATTCTCACTTGGTAATTGTAATTGTTTACAGTATCTTTACTTCTGACAGGAGAAAATAAATGAATGATAACATACGTGGCCCCAGATTCATCCAAAGTAGCTAGGATGAGATTGCCTGCCTATAAGATCGGAAAATGTGAATTTATTTCAGAAACTACTTTGGTGATAAGATCTATATCCATAACTTTTTGGGCTTCTTCCTTAATTCACTTTCCCCTTAAGGCCTTTTCCCACTTGCACCTAACAATAATACAACCATGACTTGGCAACATCTTTTTTCTACTGTCTCCTCGTGATGACGTTGCTTTTCTCTCATTGGCAACCTAGGACTGAGGCAGATTTAAGACCTTCTTAGCTGAAGTGTTACAATGATGTTTTTCCTCTTTAGCCAAGAGCATCCAGCAACAGCTGTTGTGCTTTGCCACCATTTATATCGGGGTGAAGTAAGATGACCAGTAGCAGGTGCAGTTAAGAGAAACTCTCATTGGCTGCTCCAGGTTAATAATGGGCACACTCCTTCCCCTCCCCCGCCAATCTTGTCCGCCATCATTCTGCTTGGTCTTCCTAAAGGTGAATGTGTCGTGCTGCTGGTTTAGCAGAGCCTGCAAAAGCAGAAGATTGTTCAGGCAGCATGACCCCTATCAGTTTAGCACAAGGCCGAGATAGGAAAACAGTGGGATGAATGACCAGCCCTTCCTCCTTGCCTCCCTAACCGAGCATGAAGTCATCACTTATTATCTATATAAAGAATGTAAAGGAGGAGAAGGGGATAGAAATCTTAAACAAAAAAGCAGCAGCTCATTACCCTCTGTAATTATGATGTTTGTTTGTTTTTTAAAAAAAACACACAAACCTACTCAGCTTAAGTTACAACAGAGTGAGGTGTTAAGAGGTGGACCTGCCCATTTCTGGTCTGGCGCTGTGACTATCAGATAGCGTCCTTGATGGTTGGTGATACGCAGAAGAGAAAGGGCAGCAAAGCCAGGTCTCTCCTTGCTCCTCACATGGAAAATCAGGACTCTACTGTCCAACAGTGCATCAAAACAAGACAGGTGAGAGGCAGAATAAAGGTTGGCAATGCGAACAGCAAATGTTGTTCTAATATAGTGGTTTTGTTTGTTTGTTTGTTTGTTTGCCAATTTAAGGATGGGTTGGTAGATAGCAATTTAGCTTAATGATTTACCCCATAATGATGCAAGTTGGAACTAACATCACACTAACAAAATCCCATGCAGTGATTTTTTTTGGAAATGATACAACAATCACCAAGTAGGAGGAGCCACACACACACACACACACACACAACAGTTTTCTGAAAAGTTTCAACATGCATGCAGGAGTTAATAGTGGGTCGGGTTTGGGAATGGATTACATCTTTCAATATAGTATGCTCATAGAACACAATGGTGAAGACTGAAATTAAATCAGCCTTGAGTCATTTCTATGGGAAACTATTATCATTGCTAAGCTTTAATCTAATCCTTAGCTAGGTCTGAATGTTTGCTGTAAAAGCTGTACTTGTCCACTTTAAAGGCTATAGTTACATATTGTCAAGTACAGTACCGAATGCAACAGACTAAACATTGCTAACCTGCTTTGCCCATTTTCCCCTCTTTGCATAAATCCTTCAGCCTGGAACCCAACTCTGTGATGAAGCTTGCTTAGCACCAGTGAAGTTTCCCACATTCAGTGTAACAACATTCTGGGCTGAGATGAGGGAATCAAAATTAAAATCCAATCCATCTGCATCCATGAGTTCACTGCGGATAATGGACTCCATGTCGCATTCCAAGCTCCCGTTGAAAATATCCAGATCCAAATCACTGGGGAATTTATCGTGCCCCATGACCGGAAGGCTCACACTGTTGGCATAGCCTGAGAGGGAGTCAGAAAGTGATTGCATAGACTGGTTGGCAGGTGGCTGTTGCTGGTGTTTTGCTGATCCAAGGTTGGTGTCACTTAAGCCCATAGTACCGGCAGAATTTGACAAGGCACGGCTGCCACTGAGAGAGGAATTCTGGGATTGATGCTGGTGGTGGAGCAGGTTCTGATTGGTCAAAGAGCTCTGACTAGGTTGAGCAGCAAACGACATCATTGGATCATTTCGAAGCATAATATTCCTGCGGGCGTTTTGGGCAGACACAGCGGTGCTAGCTTGTGACATGAGTGGATCAGACTGAGTCATCATGACATCACTGTGGCTATGTGAATCTGATGCCAGCAGATCCTGCAGAGTTTGGTTATTGTAGTGTGAAATGGAAGAAAATGTAGCTTGCTTGTTCTCTTGGATGGTTTGCATGGGAGACTGACGGAGAGAATTCAGAGATGATGGACCAAACACAGCATTGTTGAAACTACTGGATGGAGAACCAAGCCCTGAACCTTTGGAGCCGTATGGAAAGCTTGAGCTTCTCTGCATAAGACCTCCTGTGGGTGACTGCTGGGAAGAGGGAAGGGTTATATTGTCCAGGAGGTCATCCATAAGATTATCTGTCAAGCCATCGTTCAGGTTCATCGTGCCTGCCATGTCAGTCAACCTAGGCAGCTCAACGTTAGAGGGCTTGCTCACTGATGGGGACATGCTGGGTGAGCTACTGTACAACATGGGAGAAAGGGGAGCATCATCATCCTGCACCTCATCTAGCTCAGTGCTTGCCAATATTGGGGACAAGCGGCCACTTATTGTACTGGCATTCGAGTTGGTACGAGACCGGAAATCTGTCCATGCATCCAGTTCATCACTGCTACGGGAGGTTGGGCTACCAGGCCACTTGGATAGCTGGGTGGGGCTGTCGTCACTTGTCTCCTGGGCAACTTGAAGGGCTGCTTTTTTCTTAGCTGCTCGTCCTCGGCTCTTTGTGTATTTGTTGCTGTTGTCCATCGATACAGCCCGTCTGCGTGGCGCTTTCCCTCCTTTTCCTCCATCGGGGTTGATCATCCACCACGAGCTTTTCCCAGTTCCTTCATTCTGTACCCTGATGAATCGACTGTGAAGTGACAAGTTGTGTCTGATTGAGTTCTGCAAAGACAACACACAAAACCCCCCAAAATTTAGAATATGTCAAGGAAATGCCGTTATTCAATATAATACTCAAGACATAAAAAGCATAAAGAAAAAAAAACTTCCATTATTGCTAAAAGTCTGTAGAGATTCTCAGTTATCTCAAAGGTGCTTTTTCAAGAGGCAACTGGACTTTCTTGTTTTGTCTTTGAAGACATTTCGCTTCTCAGCCAATAAGCTTCTTCAGCTCTGACAGGATAGTGGAGGAACTATCCTGTCAGAGCTGAAGAAGCTTCCTGGATAAGAAGCAAAATGTCTTCAAAGACAAAACAAGAAAGTCCAGTTGCCTCCTGAAAAAGCACCTTTGGGACTTCCATTATTGCTATTACTTCTCTAGTTTTTAATAGGTTGTTCAGACACTAGAATAAACATAGAATTTAGAATAGGAATCGTGATAAAAAGCATGGCCTGAATCTAATGAACGTATTGATAAGCCCTTTCATGAGAAAGAACATTTAGTACTGATGCTACTGTTGCAAGCACATGGCTTTGGTGATTTAGTGTAGTTTTCTAAACAGATTCTCTTACTTTATGTTCATTAGCTTAAAGAGAATCTCTAGCTTTTATTTAAAAAGCCTCCCATTAAAATAGTTGCTAAAGTAATCATATGCATAGAAAATCAGGATAATTAATATAGATATCCTATGATCCTAAGTGCTTATAGTCAAGAACCAGTTCTGCAACTTGCTTATTTTTAAATCTTAGTGTACAAACTGAAAACGCAAAGTAAACCTGTTTGACATGTTGTAACCTAATGATCTTCTGTAAATAGCAACAACTATGTTTATTAGTATTTTTTTCTCATCTTCCCTTTTCCTTTAGTGGTGTCTGAGCAAACTAACTTGGTTAATATTCTACCTTGAGCCATTGCTGTAAGTTTCCAAAGAGAAAAACAATTATATATAGCACAATCACCAACTGTGTGGTTTTTACTAGTGGATATGAAAGAGTTGAGCAAACCAAATTCTAGTCAATTGCCATAAGAAATGCACGAAGTCAAAACACCACTGAGAGGAGAAAACCCATTGCCCTCAAATCAGCATGCCATTGAGGGTCATACTAGAAGGAACTCATGGTTGCAAGAGACAAGCGCTGCTAGTTTAAAAGCTATTTCCAACCATTCCATTGAGATGTACTTTAGGTTTATAGTTTATAAAAAAAAGTGGCAGAGGGAAGACTCCCAGATAAGGCTTTTATTGTCAAATATCAAACCACCACACTCAGAATTTTTCAGAGAACTGACTGGAAGATTTCTTCCAATAATTAACCTCCTGCATATTCCCACCATTTCTTTTAATTATTTTAATTACCATATCAGAAAAAAAATAAATAAAGGGAAAGGCAGATTAAGTTGGGAAAGGTGGCAAAGGCAGAATGTCTTGTGGTTGTTACTGCGACAACCCTTTGTCTGGACACACCCAAAGGAAGATGAGACTGGTAGGATTACAGCCTGTATACCTCAAATATACTCCAATTGTGCAATGCAAAGCTACTTCTTTACACAGCACAGAGGCCTAGGCCTCTCTTTTCAGATTGCTAAAGCAGCCATGTCATTTGCAAGTCCTGGATGGCTGCTTGCAAAGTTGGTCCTTGTTACTTTAACAATTAAAACAAGCAGCTTTGTATTGTGCGTGTCAAAATCTTAAAGTATTTTGGAGATAAGAATCTTGAGGAAACCACAGTAAGAGCCAGTCTGTTGAAATGTGAGGAGATACTTAAAAACTACTGGCAGATGTGGATCATATCCATGTGGAAAAGTGAAATGCTTTTGAAAACATGTTTTTGAAAACAGGATAGTAAGAATTTGCAAATTGCTGGTTTTTTTTTTTTTAAAAAACCCTATTTTATGATGTACAACGGGGATTGTCATTCAAGCTCGATGATTCACATTGGCATTGCTACATCTGACATAAAGAAGCAGGATGACATTAAGTTAATGAAAAACATCTGGGGTGTGCAAAGACATGCAGTCTACGTGCTTTTTATTCATCGTTTAAGTACAGAAAAAATGTTTTGTCTAAGGCCAGGTCCAGTAAAGGGAAAAATAGTAATAAAATTCCAAGCCAGGATTTTTTCTCTTGATCACAGCAGATATATATTGTTGTCTGCTGCCTAGAATAGCTTTTTCATAAGATGGGCAGCCACATAAATTTGACAAAGAAGTAAATAAAATAAATTATCACTTCAAGCAAATACATACCAAATGCCACTCTCCCTTTGTGGCATTTGCACGCCTTCAATAAAGTAAAAAGCTCTGGAGTGTTTTCTTTTAACTTTGCCAGTTTATGGCTTTGGTTCCAAGCTCTGCAAATACGCTAATGGGTGCATACAGATTTTCAATGAGTGAGGGTTTTTTCTTTTAACCAGAAGGATTATAACACTACTGTGTACCTCCATCTATGTGTAAGCTCTCAAAACCTTTCAGTCATCTAAGAATAAAAACATTAAAAGTAATAATAATTATCTACACAAGAGTTTGATGAAAATCTTATACAATTTACTGAATTTTGGAGCATTAATGCAACTACTATGTGTCAAAGTGTCAAGCTTTTACCCAACAAATATTCAGATTAAGACACAGTTCAAATGCATTTAGCCTGAGTGACAAAAAGCAAGCTATTACAACTGTAAGACTTGAGACTTTACCTAAAGCTAACCCCCCTATCTATCAAATCCTGGGTTTTGGTTATGGGTGACTTTTCTCAGTGGAAGAAGAAACTAACACCTTATTGTAATAGACAAGTCTAACTTTAGTAGCTTTGGTTATGGTTTTGTCCAATTTCTTCCTCACACAAAAGTAGCTAGTGATAAAAACCCCCCACTTCATATTCATTTTCTTACTTCATAGTAATTGTTACTTATGTTGTTTCTTGCTGATGGGCAATACTAGGTGATTGTTGAATGAATTAGTTTCTTAAAACTAATATACACTGCCTTCCCCTGCATTTATAACGATTGAAACCTGAGTCAATCTGAATGAACACTACTATAGTTCCCTTTCAAGCTAAATATGGCCTCCGCTATCTCATATAAAGTTCCTGCATTTCAACATTCAAGTGCAACATTCCATCATGGGATCAAATCTGTCCCAAAGATCAGAAGTACTGGGGATCCCTCTCCGCCATGCTTCTAGGCACGGTGCATTTAGCATAACTTCTAGGGCCAATGTGCATAGTATGTTATGTCAACAACAGCTACCAAGCAGCCTGAGCAGTTTTGGGAATTTGAGTTCCTCTCTAAGATTGTCATATGCATAGAAAGGAATGTCCCACCAGCACCAATGAAGATTTTCTTTGAAATATAAACTGAAGCTTTGCAGAAGAAATATTAGACAAAATGGTAGCAGAAAGAGAAAGGCAAAGGTTATTATACATGTTAATTATACATGTTATGAGCCCTAGTAGTGCAGTGGTTAGAATGCAGCATTGCAGGCTAATTCTGCCAGCTGCCAGTAGTTCGATTCTAACCAGCTCAAGGTTGACTCAGCCTTCCATCATTCTGAGGTTGGTCAAATGAGGACCAAGATAGTTGGGGGCAATATGCTGATTCTGTAAACTGCTTAGAGAGGGTTGGAAAGCACTAGAAAGCAGTATATAAGCCCAAGTGCTATTGTTAATTACATCCCCACAGAAAACATGTGTCCATTCTCCCAATCATAAGGAACATTCCTTAGTGGGATTACCTATCCTGTTACAAATAATGAAATGTATGCACAGCATGTGCTTTGCCATGTTCATTCATAAGTTTTATAAGGACAGTAGAAGACCAAGGAATATGTTTTACTCAGGCTGTTTACAGTTTTGCTGACTTGATCAGAACCACTGCTTCTCATATTTCCGAGTTCTATTTGTTCTTTATTTCTTTAGTTTAGGAACATTGGCAGATCCTTTTCTACAAAAATTTCCTCACTCTTCTGAGCTCAGTTTCTGTTTCAGTCCCTTCCACGCTGTGTTTACCTTATGGGACTTGCCCATTAATTCAGACACCAGCTGCATGCACCTCGCCTGGAGTACAGAGGCTTTTTGTCTGGAAGGGACATGTGGTATCAATTTATCACTCTCCACAACACAACAAGGAATCCATTTGCTGGGGGGGGGGGGGAGAAGAACTGTGTGACTTCTCTTAAAAACACCCCCACCCAATATTTTTAAAAATAAACCTACAGATTAGCAAGATGAGATACAGCTGTTGGATATGGAATCCTTGTATGATTGACTCTGTAAATTTAATACCCCAGTCCAATTTGCAATGCGAAAGAAAGAGTTCCAGCGTGCTGTATGTTCTTCAACTAGATACAAACAATTAAAGTAAGTCTTGCAATATGTCTTTTCACAATACATGATTTGGAAGTGATTAATAGGAGCAGCTTCTGATTAGTTACTCTGAGTGCTTGTTTTAACCTTCTTGAATGGCTTTCTGAGCAGGATAAGCAGGGGTAAAAGTAACTTAGAAGCACTGAAAAAATGATCTAGTGGAAAAATTCTCTAAATGCATTGGGCACCAGTATTCATCTTTATTATGGAAATTATTTTACTTTCATATTTATATTGTTTTTAAATAACATTTCCAGACATCTCCCTTCCAGGTCACTGATATATATCTGAACTTGTGGTTCTACTACAGTATTAAGTTATTCAACTGAGGAAGGAAAGGAGGGAAGGAAGGGAGGGAGGGAGGGAGGGAGCCTCCCACAGCTGTAAATTTTTAATGCGAGCTGAAGGAGAAGAAAAGGGCAAAACTCTTAAATTTCACATTTTTAAAAAATGGCCTCTTAACCATTCCATTCCTGAACATGGTTGTCCAATGAAACAGAAGCTTGGAGAGGGGAAGTCAAGAACAGGGAAAGGAAAGTCCCCAATATATGTGGCAGACAGGCAGGCCAAAAGCCCAGGTCGCAGTGTTCATTCCATCACAGGGTCTGAAAGGGAGGCAGCATTCCTATCACAGCACCCTCAAGC